TTTCGTCAATATTCATTGTCTTTTTTGTTTTGAGACATTTTAAGGCTATTTGAGAATAAATTCACTTAAAAAATTTATTTAAAAGTAAGTTTATTTTGAGTTTCATCTGTTTCAATAAAATTATATTATTAAGTCAACAAATAAAGTTAAATTTTAATATATAAATAACATTACTCTATTCAAAATTAAAGGTGCAATTTGGTTGGGTTGAGTTGAGCGGATTGAGAAGTCAACTTTAGCCCAACCCTAAGTATATAATCTTTAACCTTAACTCTAACTTTAATTCTAATCTTAACCTTAACCCTACCTTAACCCAAGATATTTAACCCAGTACTGCCTAAATCTAATTCGAGCAGGTTCAGGTTACTTAATTTTAGCTGATTTTAGGTTAAAAAATCGAGTTGAACTTGAATTACTTAATTCGGACTAATTTTTTGAAATGTAGATTTAATTTTTTAAAATGGAGATATAATTTTTTTAAGTAATCTGAGATAAGGGACGAGATGCAAATGAATAGAGAGGAAGTGAAAGAATGAGAAATGATGAGTGAGATAAGGAGACTGGTAGTTTGAAACGACTCAAACAAGTGACGATTAAAAGAAGGAGATTGTGAGAGGGAGGAGTGACAAGTAAGAGAGATCTAAGAGTAATGGAGGCGCAGGGGTAAAGACTTGAAATGAAGTGAAAGTCAAGACTCTAAAAAATAAAAATAAATACTAACCCTAGTTAAATATATTTATATATTTATGTATATTCGGGTTCAACCCAATTTAATAATCAGGTTCAACCTGATTTTAATATTCGAGTTAAAACCCGACAACCCGAGACTTGCCCAATTTCAATTTGGGTTGAAAATTTTTTGCTCAGATCCAAACCAAATATTAAAAATTCTAACACAAGTCTTATTTTTTTTTTGTTGGGCTCAGGTTAAATTCAGGTTGGCCTGCCCAAGTTGCACCCTATTCAAAATACCCTCATTAGTTATATATTTAATTAAAACAAATTTAAAAATTAAAAATCCTAAAATTTAGAAGTTTTACTAACATTAATATTTTCTCTCTCTCTAATATCTATATAGATTAGAACTAAAAAAATAGTAATATTGAATATTAATATTTTAAAAAATAAAAATAATAAAAACATTCAATATTAAACGTTTTGAAAAATATTAACATTAAATATTAACATTTCAAAAAATAATAACATTAAATATTAATATTTCAGAAAATAAAATAAAACATAATAACATTCAAACCAAAAACAATAACATTTAAAACAAAAAACACTAATATCATAAAGTAACACCAAAATTGAATTTTTTTCCGTCAAATCACATATTGAAATTTTAAAATACATAAAACAGTAATATAAACACAAAGAGTGACCAAACCAGTAATATTGTAAAATCCATATCTCAAGATTCACGCCCAACAAAGAGAAGTTTGATTTTCTTGTAAATCTATGCCATCCCACATGATTACTGAACATTCAATTTATGATGTTAGAGAGAGAAAGAGAGATCAAGCAAACACCTACCGAGAATAAAAATGAACAACATTAATTCTGGTGAACCTAACAAGGATAATGGAAACAGCATATGAGTCGCCACTTCTCGAGGTGTACAAAGAGGTGGGGGAAACACCATGATAGGGGCCTAGTCCGAGTGGTCTTGATAAGCAAGAGTCGAAGTTATAATTACATACAAATTATAATGGATTGAGAAATAAATTAGAAAACATGGTACTTGATTAATAAAAAAGTTTGAAAAACACTATAACATGATACTTCCATCCTCATCGTGGAAATGATTCCCACCAAATGAATTATTAAAACATGTCTCAGGCTTTGCGTTACAAAAAGACGATACAAATACGATTAGTAAAACATGTCTCAGTTAGATGCATGTGCCTTGGGCTGAGTCCGTCAAGCCTAGAAGGCACACAAAGAAAAAATAATTTCATCTGGTTTCTCATGGCCAATTTCTATTCCAACATCTCCGTAGGTGCATGGCTCAAAAGTCAAAACCTACACATGGTGTATCTTAGCAGCAACAATCTCGAACGTGGGCAAACTGCATGTCTGCTAAGGTCACCCGTCGGATGAATGTTATGTACATAAATGAATTACAAAACATTAAAAAAAGAGACGTCTCTGAAGTGAAAGTTGGCATTACCAGTATGACAATCATCGAGACTTCACCTGCTAATATTTGTTAATTGTTCCAAAATTTCTCAAGAGGGCCTCAAAACTGATTTCATTGATCAATCAACCGATGATAATATGAATAAAAGGAAGGGAAAAAGATCAAGCTTACTTATTATTTCCCATTAGCAGCTCCATGCTTGTGGAAGGGCCAAAGATTTACCAGGCGTTACAACACTGCCGCGCTTTTGGAGAAATATCCTGAGAATCCCTGGGGGATTGATGACGGGGGAAAATCTTCTGCTGGCATGGCAAATGGNAAAATATTAACATTTCAAAAAATAATAACATTAAATATTAATATTTCAGAAAATAAAATAAAACATAATAACATTCAAACCAAAAACAATAACATTTAAAACAAAAAACACTAATATCATAAAGTAACACCAAAATTGAATTTTTTTCCGTCAAATCACATTGAAATTTTAAAATACATAAAACAGTAATATAAACACAAAGAGTGACCAAACCAGTAATATTGTAAAATCCATATCTCAAGATTCACGCCCAACAAAGAGAAGTTTGATTTTCTTGTAAATCTATGCCATCCCACATGATTACTGAACATTCAATTTATGATGTTAGAGAGAGAAAGAGAGATCAAGCAAACACCTACCGAGAATAAAAATGAACAACATTAATTCTGGTGAACCTAACAAGGATAATGGAAACAGCATATGAGTCGCCACTTCTCGAGGTGTACAAAGAGGTGGGGGAAACACCATGATAGGGGCCTAGTCCGAGTGGTCTTGATAAGCAAGAGTCGAAGTTATAATTACATACAAATTATAATGGATTGAGAAATAAATTAGAAAACATGGTACTTGATTAATAAAAAAGTTTGAAAAACACTATAACATGATACTTCCATCCTCATCGTGGAAATGATTCCCACCAAATGAATTATTAAAACATGTCTCAGGCTTTGCGTTACAAAAAGACGATACAAATACGATTAGTAAAACATGTCTCAGTTAGATGCATGTGCCTTGGGCTGAGTCCGTCAAGCCTAGAAGGCACACAAAGAAAAAATAATTTCATCTGGTTTCTCATGGCCAATTTCTATTCCAACATCTCCGTAGGTGCATGGCTCAAAAGTCAAAACCTACACATGGTGTATCTTAGCAGCAACAATCTCGAACGTGGGCAAACTGCATGTCTGCTAAGGTCACCCGTCGGATGAATGTTATGTACATAAATGAATTACAAAACATTAAAAAAAGAGACGTCTCTGAAGTGAAAGTTGGCATTACCAGTATGACAATCATCGAGACTTCACCTGCTAATATTTGTTAATTGTTCCAAAATTTCTCAAGAGGGCCTCAAAACTGATTTCATTGATCAATCAACCGATGATAATATGAATAAAAGGAAGGGAAAAAGATCAAGCTTACTTATTATTTCCCATTAGCAGCTCCATGCTTGTGGAAGGGCCAAAGATTTACCAGGCGTTACAACACTGCCGCGCTTTTGGAGAAATATCCTGAGAATCCCTGGGGGATTGATGACGGGGGAAAATCTTCTGCTGGCATGGCAAATGGCCGAACCATCTTCTCCATCCTCTCTAACGTCAGATATGACCCTACTTCTTGCAGCCTCTCCGGACCCATTATTGGTAATGTGTGCTCCTGATGCAATGAAGCAGCCTCACTGTCGTCCTTCTGCAAAGCAAAATAAAAACAGACCAGACATCATGAGACAACTGACAATCAATCGCATTAGCTTTGGTTCAAACNGCATGCTTTCTATTGAATAATCAAGAGAGTGTTTGATATTCTTGGGGATTCTGGCTGAACTTCAAAATCCTTTCTTTCTGTTTAGGTACTCAACTTGAAATATTTTGTTGGCACAATTTAGCACTTTTGAATAAACAAACCACATGATAGCAACAGTTTGACAAGATTAGGTTACTATCAAGGTGTAAAGAACAGGAACTCTAATGGTGAGACAATGGATTGAGTATAAAGCAGTATGAGCGGAAGACTATCATATGTTATTGTTTGTTATAGTACACTTCCATAGGCCACAAGTTTGAATATTACTAGCAAGGAATAAGGCAAACAAGGATGAATACATGCATTCATAAATATATCCGTGTGCACAAATGACACACATATGAACTCAAAAGCAAAGATATATAGACACATAATTAAAGTGTGTGTACGTATGTCTTGACTAGATGGTACACTCAGGTGGAATTTATGCTAGACAATCTGAGTCTTATACGAGCTCATGCAAATTGGAAAATTCCTCATAATCTGCAAATTTGGCAAGACATGTCAATATTCTTGTTCACAGAAATGTAACAGAGCTGACATGTCAGTAATGTAAGTTTATGTTATACCTGGTAACATAAAAACTAGAAAATCACAGTAGTTTGATGATGAATTTTACTCACTGAAGTAAAGTAAAGGCGTGTCCGGACATGTCGGTCTGGTGTCTTCACATTAGCATATCTGATAAATAAATGAGGAACCACCAAAATACAATCCAGAAAAGGTGAGATATATAACAACCACAGAAATATCAATATAATTTAGAACAAGGATGTCTCCAAATAGAAGTGTGTGTTTCACAGGACCAAACAAAATAGTAATACGTTTTTTTTTTCATATGAATATATATTTGAGAATGCATGTGAAGAAGTAAGGGGATCCTCTATTTACTTTGGATCCAAACGGTATTTGGTCTCTTTGTCATCATCATCCTCCTGATCCATTGACTTTTCACTTGTGAAACTAGTTCGTCTCANCATTACAAAAAGACGATACAAATACGATTAGTTAAACATGGCTCAGTTAGATGCATGTGCCTTGGGCTGAGTCCGTCAAGCCTAGAAGGCACACAAAGAAAAAGTAATTTCATCTGGTTTCTCATGGTCAATTTCTATTCCAACATCTCCGTAGGTGCATGGCTCAAAAGTCAAAACCTACACATGGTGTATCTTAGCAGCAACAATCTCGAACGTGGGCAAACTGCATGTCTGCTAAGGTCACCCGTCGGATGAATGTTATGTACATAAATGAATTACAAAACATTAAAAAAAGAGACGTCTCTGAAGTGAAAGTTGGCATTACCAGTATGACAATCATCGAGACTTCACCTGCTAATATTTGTTAATTGTTCCAAAATTTCTCAAGAGGGCCTCAAAACTGATTTCATTGATCAATCAACCGATGATAATATGAATAAAAGGAAGGGAAAAAGATCAAGCTTACTTATTATTTCCCATTAGCAGCTCCATGCTTGTGGAAGGGCCAAAGATTTACCAGGCGTTACAACACTGCCGCGCTTTTGGAGAAATATCCTGAGAATCCCTGGGGGATTGATGACGGGGGAAAATCTTCTGCTGGCATGGCAAATGGCCGAACCATCTTCTCCATCCTCTCTAACGTCAGATATGACCCTACTTCTTGCAGCCTCTCCGGACCCATTATTGGTAATGTGTGCTCCTGATGCAATGAAGCAGCCTCACTGTCGTCCTTCTGCAAAGCAAAATAAAAACAGACCAGACATCATGAGACAACTGACAATCAATCGCATTAGCTTTGGTTCAAACATTCCTTGATATACGCCAACTCTCAAGTATAAATATGTGAACATTCTTAAGGTCCATCCTTTGTCATGCATGCAAGTGTATTAGGTGAAACACACAATGCTGGGGGGTTAGATATGTCCACGGAGTTTTTATATCACAACCATATGTTGTTCAATAAGTTTTCAACTTAAAGAACCATCTAGGACTGTCTTAATTGAACATGAATTACCTCCAATGGAGATAAATCTGCACCACGGCTAAAAGTCATCTCTATGCGGAACCTTTTTGGATCTTCTAAAGCCACCTGCAATTCAATTTCAAAACAAAACAAAAAACTCATTTGGCTGGGCAAGATAACTTGGTAGCTACATAATGATGGATAAGCGAAATATAAAATATATTAATAGTTTATAAATTATGGTCTATTTCCTTGTGGTTTAGGTCAAAATCACTTCACCTCCATATGAATTCGAAACAAAACAAAAAACTCATTTGGCTGGGCAAGATAACTTGGTAGCTATGTAATCATGGATAAGAGAAATATAAAATACATTAATAGATTGTAAATTATGGTCTATTTCCTCATGGTTTAAGTCAAAGTCACTTCAATGTTACTACATTAACCAATCTGTTGAAATTTACGGTCAAGGGTCAAAAGGAAAAAATTTCAATAAAATAACATGTCAAAATCACTTTATACCCCTGAAATTATTATAATATTTTAGAACCGTATCCATTTTTCATTTCCAAATTCAAATCATAAATACCAACCTCTGTGTTCTCAAACATCCTCAACACAATATAACTCATATAGTCAAGCTCCTTTGTTCTGAACAAGTGCTCTAGAGCATTATCATAAACAAGGCTAGCCTCTTCTTGAAGAGATTCATCCAAGTTGCAGTAGCGGAGAACATTCATTAGGGAATGTATATGAGATTCCTGTCATTCAAAAATATACAGAGCTTCATTGATAGGACAAAACCCCACATACATATGGAAAAACAAAACATCGATTTATCACAATGCTTTGAGATTTCTTGTTGCAGGGATTAGAATAACTTAAAAAAGTAATGCAGCTATAACTTGGATAGCCAACTGTGGTCAATGGTTGTGGGTTCACATATAATACTACTAAAGTTTTATTGGCTGTCATCAAGTTCCTCTGATCAATCACAAAATCAGGAGAATGCTTTCTGAAAGCAGCATGTCAATCAACTGACAAACCTTACCCAATCACACCAATTCTTTTAAGTTAACTGCAGCCATGTCACTTCCTGATCTAATTGTGCTACCACAGTGGCATGCTTTCTATTGAATAATCAAGAGAGTGTTTGATATTCTTGGGGATTCTGGCTGAACTTCAAAATCCTTTCTTTCTGTTTAGTTACTCAACTTGAAATATTTTGTTGGCACAATTTAGCACTTTTGAATAAACAAACCACATGATAGCAACAGTTTGACAAGATTAGGTTACTATCAAGGTGTAAAGAACAGGAACTCTAATGGTGAGACAATGGATTGAGTATAAAGCAGTATGAGCGGAAGACTATCATATGTTATTGTTTGTTATAGTACACTTCCATAGGCCACAAGTTTGAATATTACTAGCAAGGAATAAGGCAAACAAGGATGAATACATGCATTCATAAATATATCCGTGTGCACAAATGACACACATATGAACTCAAAAGCAAAGATATATAGACACATAATTAAAGTGTGTGTACGTATGTCTTGACTAGATGGTACACTCAGGTGGAATTTATGCTAGACAATCTGAGTCTTATACGAGCTCATGCAAATTGGAAAATTCCTCATAATCTGCAAATTTGGCAAGACATGTCAATATTCTTGTTCACAGAAATGTAACAGAGCTGACATGTCAGTAATGTAAGTTTATGTTATACCTGGTAACATAAAAACTAGAAAATCACAGTAGTTTGATGATGAATTTTACTCACTGAAGTAAAGTAAAGGCGTGTCCGGACATGTCGGTCTGGTGTCTTCACATTAGCATATCTGATAAATAAATGAGGAACCACCAAAATACAATCCAGAAAAGGTGAGATATATAACAACCACAGAAATATCAATATAATTTAGAACAAGGATGTCTCCAAATAGAAGTGTGTGTTTCACAGGACCAAACAAAATAGTAATACGTTTTTTTTTTCATATGAATATATATTTGAGAATGCATGTGAAGAAGTAAGGGGATCCTCTATTTACTTTGGATCCAAACGGTATTTGGTCTCTTTGTCATCATCATCCTCCTGATCCATTGACTTTTCACTTGTGAAACTAGTTCGTCTCATCTCTTCATTCTTAGCGTGAGGCATTGACTGATTATCTGTTTCTTCTTTTGCCGTCCTCACCAATGTTGAATCTTGATCTTGATTACTCTTCAATTCAGCAACACTGATGGCTTCTTCCTGAGTATTCCTCAGATCGATCAGAATTTTCCCCAACAAACGGCGAGCAATCTGAGATGCCAGAAAACAAGTTGACATAAATGCATTTGTGCATCGAGGTACTCACTTCTGCAGCTATGTTTCTTAAAGAAAATATGCAACATAAATATACAAGATATGGCGCCTTTACAACTATAGCATCCAATACATGCTGAAATTACAGTAGAAAAGGATCTTGAGAATTAAAAAGAGTCATCATGAACAATTCACCAACCATATTAGTAAACTGTTTAAGATTTAAGAGAATCTATCTCCATATAATTTGCTCAGTTACGATAGCAAGAAAACACGTACGACACAATGCTGAAAAACCTGGTAATGCCTATGTATGTTCATGAGAGCCTAATACAACATCTCACAAGAAGCTAATTATATGGAGCTGTTAAGAGATTAAGGCTCAAAAAAATCCACAAAAGAATTTTGAGGGCCCAAATCCTCACCATGACCATGAATACAAAAGGCTCAAGTGATACACCTTAATTGAAGATTATCCCACTCCACATTTAATTATGGAATTATAAAACTTAAGCCAACATTCCACATAATTTTCAAAAGGCCTCATTGAACAAAAGAATTTTTTGTGCATACTACACATGATAGCAAATTTCTCTTTACATACAAAAATTTAATTTTGGATCTTAGGGTTCAAGTACTTCAATGTACTTGAAAGCAAGCCTTCTTTGATACTGCCAAAGGATATTTATCAACAAAAATAATAGCTCAAAAATTTGAAATAAAATTCAAATGTTACTGGAGGATGTTTACCTTTGAACCAATCTTTAGCTTCTGGTGTGGATTAATCCCATACTCATTAGGTATAACACCATCCGCAAGTAACTGAAAGACAGAGGTAGAGCATTTAAGCTGAGTATGTTATGTACAATGTTAATTCTAGCTTAAGGGAATTTAGCATTTTGTGACTATATATCAAAGGTGGATGTAGTTGTGTAACCTAACACCCTACTCTCTTCTCAGCAAATGGTGGAAAAAAAGCGAGTGTATAACTTTCTTGCTTGTCTTAATATTGAATATGATTAGATTCGGGTCCAATATTTGGATCATAGTTCATTTCCTATTTTACAAGAGTCTTATGCATTCAACAGCTGGAAAGCCAAAAGATTGTTATGGTCATAGTTATCAAATCGTGTATCGGAAAGCGTATCGTTTTTTAAAAATCGTATATCGTAAGATACGGTGTAATTTTTAATAATTAATAATAAAATATATGTTCACAAATTTTAAGGTGTCTAGATGTAATTTATTAACGGATCTATTTACAGTAGGGGTCTAAGTGTTATGTGTGTATAAATTTTATGGGGTCTTTATATAATATTTCAAATGTTAGGGGGTCTAAGTAATTGAGTAACAAACCTTAAGGGATCTAAGTATAATTTATCCTATAACATAACAGAGACTGCCTGCCTCCCTGCCTGATTAGAAAAGAAAAAAAAAAAAAAGACGAGACTGAGAGAGAGGGAAAGATCTCGACTGAAGAACACCCGGTCGAACACTCGCCGAAGGCTGAAGAACAACCAGGACCAGAGTCGAAGACAAGCGAACAACCAGGACTAGGAGGAGTTACCGAAGGCTGAAGAACACCCAGACCAAAGTCGAAGACCAATGATGGCAGCGAACACTCAAAGCCGAAGACCAGCCAACCAATGAAGAAGGTAAAGAGGGATTTTATTTTTTTTGTAAACCCTAACCACTTAAATGGGATAAAAAAAATCAGTCTCTTAGCACAAAAAAACATTATTTCATAAAAAAAAATTAAAAAATAAAAAATAAACAGTCTTTGCACGTATCGTGCGTATCGTATCGTAAAAACGTATTGTGTATCAGACGATATAACGCAAAAACGATACAGAACTACGATCCGTATCGTTTTACTCCTGTATCGTGACGTATCGTACAATACGTATCGCGTATCGTACGATACTAACAACTATGGTTATGGTTTATGCTCCTACTCAAGAATAGTTTGCGTTGGTGTTTTTCCCTCAGCGTGACTTGAGTTTAGTCTTACCCAAGTCTATTGAGAGGAGTGACATTATTGCCAATGATACCTTAAAATGTGATTATTGTGGTAAGACCAGACATATTAGAGAATTTTGTTGGAAGCTGCAGTTAAAGCGGTGGCCAAGTGTTAATGTGCGATCTCAATATGATTGAATCTTCAAACGCTCCATCCACATCTATTCCCTATAATTTCTCTCAAGATTAGATGCCAACTCTTAGGCATCTCATGGTTCGGCTTGATATCTCTCCATTACAGCTCCTAATTATGCCTCTTCATCCAACTTTGCTCGTGTTGTTATATCTGCTAGTGTAGAGTCACACATAAAATGACAGCTTCTTCTAGTATTTTCTCTTCATATTCTACATGTTTTTGTAGTGATAAAGTCAAGGTGACAAACGGATTTGTATCCTCTATTTTCGCGGAAGGTTCAATTAATTGCTCACTCTCTTTATCCCTCTCCTCTATTCTTAATGTTCCCAATTTCTCCACCAATTTATTTTTTGTTAGGAGTATTACAAATTTTTTGAATTGTTTAGTAATTTTTTTCCTACTTATTGTACCTTTCAGAAATTAAAATTGGAAAAAATGATTGGCAGTAATAGAGCACATGGTGGTCAGTATCTCTTGGATGCTAAAACTTCTCTTCAGTTTACTTGTCAAGCTATCCAGACAGATGGTGTTTTGGCTCTTCAGCTTACATCGGTAGCATATACATTTGGGGCACCCCTTAATCGGTGCCTTAGAATATCTTTTTCCTAGTCTAATAAAGTAGTGTAGTAGACAATTTTTTGTTTGTGATTCTTGTGAATTTGTCAAGTATTAACGTTCATCTTCTCATCTTACTTCGGCGATAGAAGTTAGGAGCTCAGCTTTCTTCTATTTTTATTCGGGTTGATTTAATCCAGAAGGAAGAGATTTCTCCTAACAATAGGAGACATACATCAGATATAAAGCACTACAACAATCAATCTAGGGTGAATCTCATTGTGCATCTACTTCTGCTCATCGAAAAGTCCACCTCCAATTGAATCAATATCTCGTTTTCTCTTTGTTTACTTAGTACGCAGTAAAAATGAAATTTTCTCGTGCTTTAGATCTTTTCATTAAATGATGAGTACCTAGTTTGATGCTAAAGTCAAAATTCTTCGTAGTGATAATGAAATTGAGTTCTTTTTCTCTACTACCCAAACATCTCTCTAGGAGAAAATGTCACTATAGAGGAAGAGATGTTTCTTCAATTGCCTATTCAGCGAAATATTAGAGAAGGGTAGCAGTGACTCATAGAGGAAAAAAATGAAATTAGTAATTGACATGGCGGCGTTCACCTTAACAAGAATAATCTAAGACTTATTCTCAGTGTCAAAAGGTACAAATTACCCATATACTGCTGAATTAGTTGAATTCCTCGGCTCCAATTCCATCCTCCACTGATTTTTCAGGTAACAAACCTTTAGATATTATTATTGTTATTGATAATATAGTTGTTGATGACTTTGAGCTTTCAATTCCAGTCAGAAAGGGCATTCGAGTTTGTACTCAATATCATATCTCTAACTTTGCCTCTGATGATTCCTTGTCTCCATCCTATTGTACTTTTGTTTCTTCCTAGTCTTCTGATTCTAAATGAAGAGAAGTCATAGGAGAGGAAATGAAAGTCTTAAAGAAAAATGACATATAGAAGGTGGCAGTAAGGTACAGATGGGTGTTTATCGTCAAACAACAAGTTGATGGGCTGTTGAGAGGTACAAAACTAGACTAGTAACTAAGGAATTTACACAAACATATGNCATTCATCTTCTCATCTTACTTCGGCGATAGAAGTTAGGAGCTCGGCTTTCTTCTATTTTTATTCGGGTTGATTTAATCCAGAAGGAAGAGATTTCTCCTAACAATAGGAGACAGACATCAGATATAAAGCACTACGACAATCAATCTAGGGTGAATCTCATTGTGCATCTACTTCTGCTCATCGAAAAGTCGACCTCCAATTGAATCAATATCTCGTTTTCTCTTTGTTTACTTAGTACGCAGTAAAAATGAAATTTTCTCGTGCTTTAGATCTTTTCATTAAATGATGAGTACCTAGTTTGATGCTAAAGTCAAAATTCTTCGTAGTGATAATGAAATTGAGTTCTTTTTCTCTACTACCCAAACATCTCTCTAGGAGAAAATGTCACTATAGAGGAAGAGATGTTTCTTCAATTGCCTATTCAGCGAAATATTAGAGAAGGGTAGCAGTGACTCATAGAGGAAAAAAATGAAATTAGTAATTGACATGGCGGCGTTCACCTTAACAAGAATAATCTAAGACTTATTCTCAGTGTCAAAAGGTACAAATTACCCATATACTGCTGAATTAGTTGAATTCCTCGGCTCCAATTCCATCCTCCACTGATTTTTCAGGTAACAAACCTTTAGATATTATTATTGTTATTGATAATATAGTTGTTGATGACTTTGAGCTTTCAATTCCAGTCAGAAAGGGCATTCGAGTTTGTACTCAATATCATATCTCTAACTTTGCCTCTGATGATTCCTTGTCTCCATCCTATTGTACTTTTGTTTCTTCCTAGTCTTCTGATTCTAAATGAAGAGAAGTCATAGGAGAGGAAATGAAAGTCTTAAAGAAAAATGACATATAGAAGGTGGCAGTAAGGTACAGATGGGTGTTTATCGTCAAACAACAAGTTGATGGGCTGTTGAGAGGTACAAAACTAGACTAGTAACTAAGGAATTTACACAAACATATGGTATTGATTATCAAGAAAAATTTACTCTTGTGGCGAATATGAACTTCATACGTGCTCTTATCTATTGTACAACTAATTTGGGGTGAAATTTGTAACAGTTGGACGTTAAAAATGTCTTTCTTCACGGAGACTTGAAGGAGGAGGTGTACATGGAGATTCCTCCACATTTTTCATCTCAAATAATTGAAGGGAAAGTGTGTAAGTTAAAAAAGTCTCTTTATGGATTGAAGCAATCTCCCTGATCTTGGTTTGATAGGTTTCTTAAAGTCATGCTAGAATTTGGATATAAACTAGGTCATGTTGACCATATTATGTTCATCAAACGGGATGATGATAAGATCATGGGGCTCATTGTATATGTGGATGACATAGTAATAACGGGGAATGATGAGCATGAAATCACCAAATTAAAGGTTCAGTTGGTTAAGGAGTTTGAAATCAAAGACTTGGGTCCATTGAGGTATTTCCTAAGGATAAAGGTTGCCAAATTAGATAAGGACATTTTTATCTCCTAGAGCAAGTATGTTCTTGACATGTTATTGGGATGTAGACCCACAGATTCTCTAATTGAAATGAACCATTGACTAAGTGGTGACATTGGTAAGGCAATAGAAAATGAGAGATATCAGAGGCTAATGGGGAGATTAATATATCTCACACACTCAACTAGATATTGCAGTAAGTGTTGTCGATCAATTCATATACGATCCTCAAACTTCCCATCTAAAGTTGTATCTTGTTCTTTGCTAATGGCCACTTGAAATTGGAAGCATTTAGTGATGCAGACTGGGCAGGTATAGTGGATGATAGACGATCTACTTCAAGCTATTGCACTCTGATTGGAGGAAATCTAGTAACGTGATGAAACAAGAAGCGACAGTGGTAGCAAAGTTTAGTGCGGAGGCTAAGTACAGAGCAATGGCCCATGTAGTCTATGAACTTATGTGGCTCTAAACATTACTGGGAGATTTGGAAGTTATGATGATGGGCCTATTATTGTGACAACGAGGCTATATCAATATTGCCCATAATCCATTTCAACATGATAGAACTAAGTATGTTGAAATTGATTGGCATTCATTAAAGAGAAGTTAAACAAGAATCTGATTTTGCATGCCTTTTGTGAAATCAGAAACCAATTAGGCGATCTTTTTACAAAAGGGCTTACTAGCAAGATTTTTCACCTCATTGTTTGCAAGTTAGGCATAAGGGATATTTATGCACCAACTTAAGGGAGAGTGTTATGTTCTCTGATGATTTTAGTTTCACGGTATTTCAATATTTTGTGGCTATATATAAAAGTGGGTGTAATTGTGTAACCTAACACATTACTCTCTTCTCATATTTTTCTCTCTTTCTCTATCATCCCCTTCTCCAGACTCCGATGGATTCACAATTCAACTTAAGGATGACATTGCATAACCTAACAATTTATACATAGAGTTGAACATCAAATATGCAATATTCATTTTGTTAATAATTCTATTTATTGATAAATTTATATTAGGAATTAACCTCATTCCATACAAACAAAGTGAATTTGATATCTCCCTTTTGTAGTAGCAGGCCATAACATGTGAACTACATCAGAATTTGAATTCTAAAGGCATGAACTGCTGACCACTATTACTAGTTCTATTGCAGGAAAGTAAAACAAGGAGACCTTATTCAAAAGTTACCAGGATTGGAGGAGGGAGAGTAACTTCCTTCCATACAATGTAATGATAGAAAGAGTTGATTTTTTTTTTTGGGTACCTGAGCAACTTTGAAAAGTTCATCCAACCCTTCTAGATTGAGATGTGCATTGTGCAACAGATCATATCTGGTAAGAACAACCAAAAAATTACATGCATAGCAAGGTAATGTCACAGAAGGTATATGAAAAGAGTTAAGCCAACTGTCTTACTTTTCAATTGCATTGCATGAGATACAGAAAAATGAAACAATCGTGTTCGTGAAACCTTACTGCATCAAATGGAATGTATATTTTCACTCGTACAAATGCATATATTAACAAAAATATGCTCTACACCAACCAAAAAAGAAAAACAGTACCGTAATAAAAAGAAACCAAAGGCACACACATGCACATAAATAACACACCTGAAACCAAATGCAAAATGTGGCCACTTGAGTAATCTAGGAATAGAGCACAAGGATCATTACTTCATCATTCCCTCAATATGAGAGTTTTATTTGGTTTTAGCATTCAGCTTTGATGCTTTATCATGATGAAAGCTATACAACAAAATCTCCAGCTTTGGCAAACAATTATAGTGTCTGAAAAGGACTATGGAAGACTTTCTTACAGATATGATACTGATTTCACACAAACCGGATTAAACAGAATGGTTAGTAGGTTACTTACTTGCAAGAGTCATAAATATCTGGAATTTGTGTTACATCAAAACGTCTGCCATTGAATGCAAAAGTTAGTGATTGCTTTTTCTATACCAAAAACTTCATAAAATCCAGCGACTAATACTATTGATTTTAAGATGTTTATAAATGAAATCATAATGATTTTTGCAAGAAGTAATCAAAAGCAAGCAAAATGATCACTGGTTAGTTTCTAATCTTCAGAAATGCACGCAATCAGATACCATATATACTTTAGTTTCAGATCTTTAGATATGCTGATAATCAGATACGATGTATACTTACTCTTTGCGTTCATTATACAAGTCTCTCTCAAGTTTTCTCCAGCGAGCATACATCAGAAGGAATCCTTCACTACCACAAGGTAGTCCAGCAGCAATACGATCAACATCTATATTCGTCTTACCAAGTGCCTTTGCCTGATCATATGGAGGAATTACATTATACGAGCCCGTCTCTGCAAGTTGCTCATCTTCGTCCTTAGCAAGTAGTCTCACTTGTTCAGTAACCTTCTTTGTCAATTTCACCTATTTGAAACATGCGTAAAATTTAGGAACAAATAAAAAGGAAACAAAAATAAGGACCACCTTTGTTTTCGATAAGTAAAAACAAGGGCCACTTGTATATGTGCTAGCCCTAAACATTCTGACAAAATTTGGGAATTTGAAGCAAACCAATTGGGAAATGGTCTCTAGTATGTAGAGTATAAGCATAAATGACAATAATAATTTTGCATATTATCGACACATAGTTCATGAATGATTAAGGCTAAAAGTATAATGAACCTTGAAATTAGAAATAGTGATTGCCACCCAGTAAATTATCTTCGCAGTAAATACATGTATAGAGTTTTACCAAATTTGGCAGCAGATCAGAAGCATTTGCAGGTAGTCCAGCCCCATCAACCATCCAAGGTTTTTCAGACAATCCATTGCTATGAATTGCCCTTGCTCCAGAAATTATTATCTCATTCAACCTAGCCTGGCCAGAAATTTTTATAAGGAAAGGAAAAAATTTGCCAAAATAACAAAATTATCAAAAGAAGTTTAAACTTTGTTGATTTATTTTCTGTAAAACACAATTCATGATAGGGTTTATCATGAGCAGATTTAGGTTGCCAAAAGTGAAATGAATAAAGTTACAGTTGATGCAGATTTTCTTCTTCCGTTCCCAGTTCCCATAACTAGTGTAGCTGATGAAAGAAATATATAAAAACACATAGAACATGCACATACATCAATCTGAAAGGTCAAATATTATTAGTTCCATTAGTATTCATTAGTATAGGCAGAGATAGGAATATTATCAGAAAGTTAGCTACTTCAAGTATTAATATTTACAATGATTCCTAGTGAAGGTTGTGCACATATGACTTCTTTCACCAAATTAAGATTTGATTTTGGATTCTTTCTATGAAAACATAATAGCATAATGCAGTTAAAGGCGCAAAAGAAACCTTTGCTTCTTCCATCTCAATACTAGCATTGTCAAGTCCATCCAACATAGAAGAGTCCTTGCTAACCAGGGAAACCTGTGAGCATCTTAGTGATGTCAGTCATATAAAGTCCAAGCCAACAAGCAGATGAAACCCTTTAGAAAACGAGGCTACAAACCAAGATTGGTGTCAATGGTCCTTCCAAGTCAAGGAGGCCTTTGGCAAATGCAGCTGCAGACATCTGTAATTAGATAATCAATAAAAAACTTAGCTCACAAGCAAACCAAAGTCAAAGGTTTGACAGCACATGGGTTTGCAGGTGACCATACAAAAGATGCAAGTCAGTAGAAGGGAAAGATTCGGACAGTAAAGCAACATGAGAGAATCTAATACTGCTCAAATTTTGGAGAACGAATAGAACAACCCTCCAACAACAAACTAAACACACCAATCCATTCATCAGGGCTATACCTGTACACGACCCTCATCTGAGCTGTAAATTTTAAGATCATGACGATATGTACTATGGAGGCGAAGCAGGCCAGTACCTTCACCTGAGATTGAAAACATGTGAAAATTAGCTACAGAACCAATATTAAAACATATTTTTGACTAAGATAACAAACTTAATTTTCATCTGTCTTGTGTCAGTTTTAACCGTTGTAGAGAGAGTGTGTATCCCCACATCGAATGATTAGGTTGGTTTATATCGTGGCNTATGGAGGCGAAGCAGACCAGTACCTTCACCTGAGATTGAAAACATGTGAAAATTAGCTACAGAACCAGCATTAAAACATATTTTTGACTAAGATAACAAACTTAATTTTCATCTGTCTTGTGTCAGTTTTAACCATTGTAGAGAGAGTGTGTATCCCCACATCGAATGATTAGGTTGGTTTATATCGTGGCATGGCCTCTCCACTCATTGTCAATTGGTTTTGTGTTCGATGCTCTAACATGGTATTAGACTTGAGTCTTCGGCAGTTAGTGGAACAAGTCTCTTACCCATTTGAATTTTTCGGCATGGTCAGTTTGTTTGCAAGCTCCATGTGCGAGCCGGGGTCCCACATTAGGAGAGTGTAAAGAGAGCTTGTATCCTACATCGAATGACTAAAATAACCAAGGCTAGTTTATATTGTGAAAGGACATCTTCACCCATTGCCAATTGGTTTAAAGTTGGAAGCCTAACAGTCTGCAGCTTAATAAAAACTTTGAAGGAATGTCCAGGAGCTGATTTTCACCGGAGTTGAAAGTTACTGAAAAGTTCACATCCAAGAATTGATATTATTCAGAAAGACACCCTTAAAACAATTGACCTTGCCCTCCCTAGGTGTTACATGAATAAAAAATTGACCACTAAGACATAGTAATGTGCCAGCTATATATAGTAGGGATATTTACAATGAAAGACCACTTCCTGTATTTCTATCGATTAGTATGTTCCATTGTCAGTCTACCTTCGTGTTCATAGCAAGAAACAGCGATTTTTCTTTATTTATTTACATGGAAACTCAAAACCTAATACCCCATTCAGGCACTCAGCACTTAACACAACATTTAGGATCAATAATCCATACTCACACCAGGACCCACTACGGTGGAACTGAAAATGAGAATATTTGGGCAATGCATTGATACATGTTTAAGAGTCGACTTGTTATCTTAGACCTCATACAAACTTAAAGATTGACAAGTTCTTCATTTTCTGTTCCCCGACAAAAATTTAAAGATGTAATCTTTTATCTTTTAGAAGAATGAATTTTACCTCCTCATTTTTAGAAATCAAAAGTGAAAAACATTAACCTGGATACATATTGTTTCGAAAATATCTGCCCAGTTCTTCAGCCTGCCAAAAAAGGAACGAGAGTATGCAGATTTAAAGAAAGACACAATGTGTTACACATACAAGTTTTCAGAGATAATAATCAGAAATTTTTGTTACCTGATAGAGGCAAAAATAAATTAACATGCATTCAATAAAAAATAGCACCTGCTTTCTGCCAGCATGTGTGAGAACACCACCATATTTAAGAACCATCAGTGCTTCAACAGGCTTCTCTTCTTCACCTTCACCATTACTTTTTGTAACTTTAACCCACTTAAGGGGCTTTAGTTGGACCTTCCGGTAAATGCCTGAGAAATGTCCCCCCTGGTTGCCAAAATATTTACAAGGACAACCTAATTAATACCAGTAATAGAAGGAAATGGAGAAAAGTTTTCTAAAATCATCAGTCAGCTAGAATTCGAATGATTTTTAAGTCTTCATGTATACCCCACATAGTTTCAGAAAAGCCAAAACATAAATCAAATTGCAAGCACCTTCTCTTTTATGTATGTAAACTTCAAACAACTCATCCAAAATTATGAGGTCTCTGTAAGAAAGCTTATTATATCTTGCATACATTACCCTACAATTACAACAATTAACTGGGAAAAATAAGCACAAGAGATTAAAGATATTGGCTGCAAACTAGATGTAGGCACAATGGCACATGCAAAATCATATATGACGCAAAAAAAGTCCACCTCGCATATACCAAAAGAAAATAAAATTTACAAAGAAAAATATTACTTTTTCCTTCTAATGAAATATTTGATCATGTTGAGTTGAAACCCAAGTGGAAAATTGCCCATATCCCTTCACCGGGCCAAAATTCATTTAAGAAAACTATCAATCAACTGTTTTTTCTTCTTTCGTAGTAAATACAGCACTGCATCCATGATATGCCAAAACATTAAAAGGTAAGTTACCTCATGATAATTTTGTTGAACAAAAACTTGGGTACAGGAAAAGGTGGACAAGGTAAAGACATTAATCTTTCAACTGGCACCGCAAACTCGAACTCAAATTTGCATGAATAGCAACCCAAGTTTTCAAAATGGATGCCTTAAACAAAATGGTTGCCCCTTTTACTCAAGTGTCTCGCAGTCATACTTTTTTCTCCATTTGGTAGTTATATTTATTAAATGTTTTCGTACATGTTTGATATAGTACCATTGCCAGCCAGTAACTACGAAAAATCTTAAATGATGAAGCAAGTGATATAGAGCAGTCCTCAGACAACGGATCCTTGCTCTTTTAGAAGGGATTATAAGAAGCAGTTGGTATGAACTCTACAAATTTATGAGTTGAATAAGATTTATAGGTTTGATGAGGTCAAGAAGCTATGGTCACTTTTTCCATTTTCTGCTGCTTATTTCATTTATTTGTTTTGATAGATGATACAAGGTCACTTGATGTGCCTCCTTTCTGACACCTTAACACTCTGTTCTGTTGATGGACGTAGTTGGGGAAAGGAAANCTGCTGCTTATTTCATTTATTTGTTTTGATAGATGATACAAGGTCACTTGATGTGCCCCCTTTCTGACACCTTAACACTCTGTTCTGTTGATGGACGTAGTTGGGGAAAGGAAAAGAAAGGAACTCATTTTATATTGTTTGGTAGCCAAAACAAGAAGGGACAATATTATGACAGGAAGTAAGAGAAAGAAATTATCTAATCTCTCATTTCCATTTTCTTTCTCAATAATAGAAACTAAATTCAAGAAAATTTTAATTTTCAGTTTTACTCACCAGGAGAGAAAATACTAAGGAATTCACTTTTTCTTTTTCTTGTATAGTTTCCTGTTTCCTGTTTCCTTTCTTTGACTAAATCCACAAACCAAACAGATCATTAGTGCGATTAAAATTACAAACAAAAGAAAAATGGGGATGGTGCGATCACCTTGATGTGAAGTCCAGTTAGATTCCAATGTCTGTGGATGAAAACACAGATTCCTTGGTAGGGCCCTTCTTCTTCTTCTTTTTTTTGTCGCAAGGGCCCATCTTGTTCAAACCATTGGAAAAGTTATTTATTTATTAACAGCAGATTCCTTGGTAGGGCCCACCTTGTTCCTTTTTGTAACTCCACAGGGTTGAAGAAAATTCAATCATTTAAGCCCCTATCACCTCCTTTGCCCCGTCCAGCAAACTTCATGTTTTGAATTGGAGTGGTGGAGACGAGTCTTCTAGAGTTGGTGGAACCAAATCTTTTGTTTGTGGCTAGTTGCTCCTTAAAATTTTTGCCTAGATCTTCTTTGTTTGTCATATGCCATTTGGGTGGTTCAGAATATGAAATTTTTACTTTTTCTTCTAGTTTTTCTTTCAAGGATGCATGCTTCTTCCTTCTTTGTATACCTTTATTAATTTATTGAAGCAGTTTTTGCATTTTGCACTAATAGATGATTAATACAGAAATTTGACATTAAATGCAAATAGATGCCAACCAGAGAAATTTTATCCATATGTAAATCCAACTTGAAACGTATGTGAAGATAAAAACATATAATCCATAACAGAATTGGAACTCTACAGATGCATAATTTAGGATAAACTATTAAAAAACGGACCTCCTCAAGAACTGCTTTAACTTGGCGAAGTTTTTCAGCATGCTCAATGTCTTCTGCTTCACTATCACTTTCCCGACCAGGTCTAAGTAATATTAAATTTTGCAAAATCAGTTCAAAAACATTACTTTTGTTTCAACATGAAACTGAATAAGCAAATAAAATGCATGTCCTATATACAACAAAACATATACAAAATAAAGAATTAACAGAAAATGACAAGTCAAGATGTATTACAGTCAAATGGTCACAAACTAGATCGTTCTTAAGGTGCGTGATTTTCTCTCTTTTTTTCTTTATGGCGCATCACCTCTAAACTTACTTTTTTATGTATATACAGGTCACAGCGAAATCCCTATTATGTTCTAGAAAGAAGCAACAAGGAAAGAAAATGCAAAAGTGGTAGTTTTGATTGATCTCTGCACCTGTTGAAACCACAAGAGCCTCTGGGACCCAAAGACCTCAGTCCCTTGAACTCTTCTTCCTTAATAAACCCGAAGACATTTATGATCAACGCAGCAAGATTCACTCTTCAGCCTTTCCTCAAGGCAAGGCAATTCCAAAATCCATAGAGGCTTAATTGTTGAAGGGTCTCAGAAGGAGTGTGCACTGGAAGCCAAAACTCACCCAGAAATGCATTATGTTATTTTGTCTCCAAGTATGGGGTCTAACTCATGTACTAGGCTTCCTTCCTTTTCATTTCCACCTTTCACTTGTAAAGTCATCTTGCTGTGTTTGTGTTTTTTTTCACTGTACTCTTTTTTTGGAAATTAGATAAGCTTCTTGGTTGGACATTGTTTTGACTGTTTTCTAAAATTCTAGGTAGCCTTAACAAAATAAATTGAACGTCCGCAATTGAATTAAAAAAAAAAATTTCCAAGCTGATCTTCACATGTCTAAAGGATACTATATTTTTATTGGTTTCTGGTCAACTATCGTTTACTTCCGTTCTTCATTCCATTTACAAAAGACAACATGCTTCTAAATTTGAAAAACTGCAAAAAAAAAAAAAATTCAGAAGACCCATGCCTCTCGCCTTGAGGTTCATAGCTTGCTATAGAACAGGACAGATGGCCAAACACTTTCACCTTGTTCAAAAGTGAAATTNATTTCCAAGCTGATCTTCACATGTCTAAAGGATACTATATTTTTATTGGTTTCTGGTCAACTATCATTTACTTCCGTTCTTCATTCCATTTACAAAAGACAACATGCTTCTAAATTTGAAAAACTGCAAAAAAAAAAAAAAAAAAATTCAGAAGACCCATGCCTCTCGCCTTGAGGTTCATAGCTTGCTATAGAACAGGACAGATGGCCAAACACTTTCACCTTGTTCAAAAGTGAAATTTGAGCAACTCATGCATAAAATTATTTCTAGTTATTTCATCGGGACAAATTTCAAATGGGAAAGGGATTTTGCTGAAAATGACGTGTATATGATGCATAACCAAATCTAAAAGAATCATTCTTTGGATATGGACTGATACCTAGTACGCGGCACTAGAATTCGTGTGGCATCTAACAAATCTTGCAACTGGACCGCACTTTTAAGTTTCGTCTGCCAAGACCCAGAGGGACAGACAGAGACAGAGACAGAGAGGAAGAAGAAGAAGAAAGAAGAGGTTCAGTAGTACTTACAAAATTTGTAACTAAATAATCCAATATAAGAGGATCATGATGAGAAAGGAAGCACCTCAGATCTTGGTCTCCCCCCATTATATTTCAACATCAAATTCAACAGCTTTTCCTCAGTAACCTTCAACTTCACCTTCTGTTTCGGAGTTCTATCACCACTGCCCAATGAAGCATCACTATAAGGGAAAATAAAAGGTGCCACCTAACAAATGAGGAAAACTGACAGATAAATATCTTACTGCCGAATAATAGCAANCAGACAGATAAATGTCTTACTGCCGAATAATAGCAATTACACAACGCAGCTCGTCGGACAGCCCAAATGTGCCTATAATTCCACTTCCTACTCGTGTAAGTCCCTCAGAAGGTTGAACTGATTCCTTGACCTTCCATGGCAAAGTTGGTGGAATTGTTGATGAAAGATGGGGGGCTTTTGCATCTAGAAACATCTTTCTCAAAACACAAGCAGCATCATCATAGTACCTGTTGTGGGGAAATTGAAAAACAATAACTATATTTGACAGCCAAAAAAATTAAAGGAAAGCACAGTGAAATCAGTACCCTCTTCCATTTTATCAGACCAGAGGTTGAACCAGAGAAATAACCAGCTCAAATAAAAGCAGTCCAATGGGTTGGTTTGTCTGCTTGGCCTTTGGTGTGAATATAACAAGGATAAAATAACAGAGGATAACGAAAAAGAAATGATGCAGATACAAAATCTATTCTGATGCAATATAGATGGAAACATATAGATAAGTGCCGGTACAGTGTCACTCTACTGCAAGATGAAATTGCCAAAAAAGAGGGCAAACAAACTAGTTATTAAAATGATAAATTCNGGGACAGACAGAGACAGAGACAGAGAGGAAGAAGAAGAAGAAAGAAGAGGTTCAGTAGTACTTACAAAATTTGTAACTAAATAATCCAATATAAGAGGATCATGATGAGAAAGGAAGCACCTCAGATCTTGGTCTCCCCCCATTATATTTCAACATCAAATTCAACAGCTTTTCCTCAGTAACCTTCAACTTCACCTTCTGTTTCGGAGTTCTATCACCACTGCCCAATGAAGCATCACTATAAGGGAAAATAAAAGGTGCCACCTAACAAATGAGGAAAACTGACAGATAAATGTCTTACTGCCGAATAATAGCAATTACACAACGCAGCTCGTCGGACAGCCCAAATGTGCCTATAATTCCACTTCCTACTCGTGTAAGTCCCTCAGAAGGTTGAACTGATTCCTTGACCNCTGACAGATAAATATCTTACTGCCGAATAATAGCAATTACACAACGCAGCTCCTCGGACAGCCCAAATGTGCCTATAATTCCACTTCCTAGTCGTGTAAGTCCCTCAGAAGGTTGAACTGATTCCTTGACCTTCCATGGCAAAGTTGGTGGAATTGTTGATGAAAGATGGGGGGCTTTTGCATCTAGAAACATCTTTCTCAAAACACAAGCAGCATCATCATAGTACCTGTTGTGGGGAAATTGAAAAACAATAACTATATTTGACAGCCAAAAAAATTAAAGGAAAGCACAGTGAAATCAGTACCCTCTTCCATTTTATCAGACCAGAGGTTGAACCAGAGAAATAACCAGCTCAAATAAAAGCAGTCCAATGGGTTGGTTTGTCTGCTTGGCCTTTGGTGTGAATATAACAAGGATAAAATAACAGAGGATAACGAAAAAGAAATGATGCAGATACAAAATCTATTCTGATGCAATATAGATGGAAACATATAGATAAGTGCCGGTACAGTGTCACTCTACTGCAAGATGAAATTGCCAAAAAAGAGGGCAAACAAACTAGTTATTAAAATGATAAATTCATCGTTCAACTATCATAGTACATTTCCCAACCGCATTCCGAAGTGAGAGTGCATGTTTTATGCATGATCCCTGGAGCCAAATGTCAAACAAAGGTCTTAAGTCATAAACGAGTCTTGGATCATAACTGAATTTGATCCCTATTAACCAAGGGTAGTAGGAGGAGTGGATGGAGTATAGACCTAATTCTTGGAACTACTAGCACAACAAGTGAATTCCCTCGCATTTGAAACCACAACCTTGTTGGTATTAACATGATCATTTTACTGCACTAGGACATTAACCCAAAAATATATATTCAGCACATTGATTTTGCATTCTATCAGTAGTAGGTAACCTCAAGATAGCAAGGGTGCTAGGAGGAGCGGATGGAATATAGACCTAATTCTTTGCACTACAAACACAAGACAGTGAATTCCCTCGGATTTGAAACCGTAACCTAGTCGGTATTAACATGATCATTTTACTGCACTAGGAAATTACCCTAAATGTATGAAATATATATTCAGCACATTGATTTTGTATGCTATCAGTTGCAGGTAACTTCAAGATATCACTAATACATAGACTCCATATTATTGCTCTACTATAACTTCGGGATCAAACAACTTCAGTGCTACAAGAATAAGAAATCAATCAAATAATATGTCCACAATACATGCAAGAATTTATTTTTTATGTCTTGCTTATGACAGATAAATCAGATTTTAACCTTCCAAAATCAGGCAGCCCCCCCCCCCCCTCATTTTTTTTTCTCTTCTCTTCTCCCAATCCAAAAAAGAAAACAAAAGGGTTTTCCTGGAAGGGGGGTAGCAAATGAAAATTTTATTAAGGTACCAAAAAGGCGCACCTTCTTGCTCCATAAGTATACTATACTTGAAGGAGCAAATTGGAAACAGGAAATATGAAAATCACACAAGAAATGATAGCAAATTGATGAACCAACATGCAGTAGCTTGGTTTAGTGAAGCAAGGGTGAGCTAACTTTTCAAGTTCCTGTCATACACTTGCAACCCACACCCAAAAATAGAAGCATGTGTTTACATGAAAACTGAAAATATCACACTGCCTATAAGAAAATTGCTCTATTTAGTTTTCAAGGTTAGCAAATTAAGAAGAATTACTTGTGGGAGTTCTTTACGAAACTCCATCCATTCACATCACAGACATATGAACGTCCCTCACAACGCAAGAGATCAAACCCACAAACCTGGAAGTAACATGCAGAGATACAAGTTACTGAAAGACAAAATGATTTCTTCAAAGGAAAAAATACTCGAGTGTGTGAATGCATGTGTGCATTCCTGAAGCAAATAAACCTTAACCCCAAATTTTTGCACTGAATTACAGAAGTTGCTAGGGATGACAATTAAAAGGAAAAAAAAATCCAATGAGCATAGCATAATGAGAAATTGACCTATTTTCCTTCTTAAATTAATTCATCTGAATTTGAATTTGAGATATTGACCTATTTTCCTTCTTAAAGTCAAAAACATTAGATGGAAAAAAAAAGAAGCACAACTCTGGTTTGGAAAATCCAGCCTTTATATGTGACTGAAATTAGTCAATCCAGATAATGGAATGCCTTTGTAAGCACAGACAAACCAAAACATTGAATGGGGAGGGAGAGAGAGAGAGACCCCAATCACTATTTTAGTGCAGATCAAATCACAAGTGATGATACGATAATCCTTTAGTTGTTGGAACAACTAATATTAGATTTTACACATTAACAGTGCCTTCACAGTTTGAACTACCAATATACTTTTTACAAGATCAAGATGACTTACTGCTTGACTAAACGCAACACAAACTTCTCTTGCCATTTGCTTCTCAGTAGGAGTAAGTAGAACAGGATACCTGACCTGCCATATGAAGCAACAACTCTAACATGATGTCATCCTATCAAATACTACGAACATGGACACAGCCAATTATCACCACTTCAAACTAATGAACGTCAAACAGAACATGCAAGACACAAACACAGCCAAATCACAACCAGTAAAAACGTGATTGTACGGGTGGGAGTATGGGGTGTGCATGTGTGTGTGTGTGAGAAAAAGAGAGGGGGAGAAAGTTGGGAGAAAATACAAGTGTTCCCCATGCTTGACTGCATTTTCATGCACTGTAGTGTTTTTGGAACATCATTCCTGCTTCCATTTGTCATATTCTTTCACCTTCATTTCAGGATCTTGATATAAATAAGTCCGCATACATCTTCATAGCTATAACAGTTTTTGTCAAAAAGAAAAGGAAAACACACACTAGCAAACACAAAACATGACACTCAACGTATTCCTAAGGATTTGAGTGAGGAAAAGAAAACTGGGTGAGGTGAGGAGGAGCAGTTTCTAATTAAAGGTATGTGTTGCACAAATTGCTTACTTCTTTGCCATCAGGATTTCTCATAACAACACCATCAACAACAGGAGACTTCCTTGCCTCTGCATGTGCATATTCGGTGCCAACTGTATACACCTACAATAATATGACAATACGCTCTCTCTAAAAATCAGATAAAAAAGCAACAACTAATTACAAGATAAAAAAGCAAAAAAAATGGGGTCTCATAAAAAATAGTTAAACCACATAGAATTAAAGACAGCATAATGCACCACCATTAAATGTCCAAAAGTTTCAAGACCAATAGAACGGATATTACAAGGAAGGAAAAATTTGTAATTACCCCTACACTCCAGTTAGTAAAAATCAAGGGATTTTGGGACAGTTAGACTGCTGTAATTAAAATACAGGATGCTCTTTTTCCCTAAACCGAACAGAAAAGAGATGCAAGGAAAGCAGAGACGTATGGTCCCATCAGGAGGCAGTCTATGGGATGGGTCATTTTTGGATGTATCAGTATTCGAGACTCCTTTGTAGTCGACAATATGGATGAAAGAGGAATTGACCGGCCTCCGGCAATACAGATGGCACGAGAGAGTTCACAGACATTTCCCACTTCCTAGGGTAAACCTCTAAGCATTAGATGAAGTTCTAATTCTCTTATTTATCCAATTACTGTGTACTTTACAATCAAGAAAATAATCTTAATCGAGTCCTTCATACCTTAAACCCATGTAGTCAGATGTTTTGAATTTGTTTAATTGCACAGAAATGTAAAATAATCTTCATTTAATTCCTTATTCAGGAGTTGTTCACATATACCAGGACAAATCACATACCTTCCATGCAAATAGTCAACGCAACACCCGTATCCCTCCAAGGTTCCTTTAGTTTCATCTTTGGCTCACAACATATTTTCGTGAGAATGTAAAAAGTTTGTAACTCATGACAGAGGTTCATGGATATTAATATGACTGACTTCAATAGATAAATGCATGAGAATAATTTCTATCATTCTCCATTTAAAACAAGGGAACATAAAAAAGTCCAATTCACCAAAGACTACAAAAGCAGAGGCTACACAACCTTGACATCTGTTCCTCCAGTTGGCATAAATTCCTCATATATATAAGAGCCTTCACGTCTAACTCTTCTAACCTCTGGACGAAATTCACTTGACCGATTACCAACCTGAAAGCATAGAAATCAAAAAATATGTATCTGTAGTGCAGAATTATCACATATACGACAAATAAATTGCAGTAAATACAAAATCCATCTTAAAGACTAACTCTAACTGAATACAATTTGGAAAATTTTCAAGAGGGTAAAAATTGTATAAATGAAATGAAAACATGTTCCAATCACCAAAGGGAAAAATAGTAGAATAGCATCTGACAGAAAAGATAAGATTTGGAGCTTAAATCAAATTGCATCTCTTTTATCAGCAACTAGAAGCTGGATTTCTTGCTTAGTATTGGTATTGAACCAAGAGTCAAAAACTAGGTCCACCCAACCCGTCACACCATCAAAGTCACCTTCATCATTCAATGGTTGGTTGGTTGGTTTCCATGAGTTGGTACTTGGTACAATAACATGTTGGAAAAGAGTAGCAGACATGGCTAATTACANCAACCCGCCACACCATCAAAGTCACCTTCATCATTCAATGGTTGGTTGGTTGGTTTCCATGTGTTGGTACTTGGTACAATAACATGTTGGAAAAGAGTAGCAGACATGGCTAATTACAATTTCACAAAAATGAAGAGAAACAGCCAACAAGAATTTAATTTTTCAAGCCTGTTACATATTTTTTACCACCACCTCACCCCCCCAAAAAAAAATCACCAAAAGGTATGAAGTATGAACCATGCCATACAAATATTTCCAAATGACATTATAAGCACAATTAAAATCCGAAATCAAACCAATTAAAAGATCATAGCAAAATCCTCACCTTCCGGAACAATTCCTTCATGCCTCCTCCTGCTGAACTAGGATAATATATCATTATACTGTGGTCATCACCTTCACAAAAAGAAAAATAAGATTTGCCATGCACTTTGGAATAGTAGATATCAGACATTAAAATAAGTACCAAAATAGTTAGAGAGCAAAATTTGCTCGGCAACAATAATTAACTGATGCATGAATTGATCATAAAGCATCAACATCAGAAAAATTACGGTAAAATTAGACAAAGAGCATACCATCAACAGGCTTCTCTACAAAAGGCTTCCAAAAACGATTCCCATGAACCTCAACAAAATCATCTTCCTCAACAAAATAATCCAGCTGTTGGTATGGCACTTCTCTATTTACAAGGGCATATCTTGGAACATGAATTCCAAACACTTCAAGGCGCTTGAATTCCCCGATCAAGAAAATGCATTACTATTGTCGTAAAGGAAAGAACAAAAACAAAACAAAATATACAATTTACAAAATACAGTAATAATGTTTGTGCCCAGTGGGCATTCTTCAAGCAGTGATGGAACTCCATGGAGACCAAGGGTGGCCATCCCCCCTCCCCTTCCTCATACTTTCAAAATTACCCTATTCCCCCTTTAGGTTTTCAAGAATCTTATATTTCCTTGTAGGTTTTCAAAATGTATAAAGGATATTCAANGTGGCCATCCCCCCTCCCCTTCCTCATACTTTCAAAATTACCCTATTCCCCCTTTAGATTTTCAAGAATCTTATATTTCCTTGTAGGTTTTCAAAATGTATAAAGGATATTCAATTAGTGTATTCAAAAAGCATAATAGCATGACATTAAACATTTAATCATCAAATGGGGGATATTGTTCACATAGAAGAGTGGGGATTCTTATAGAAAAAAATACTTGTTTAGGCAAATTTGATGAAAAACAGAAAAAAGAAGGAAATCTGCAGCAAACTCAACGTACAAAGGTGACTTTATATCATCAATAAGAAATAATTTTTGAAGTTTATGAACTAAATTTTTGTGATAGTATCATATGGTGATACAGTCTTCACAATTAAAAATATAATATTAATAGTAACTTACGGATGATCTTATTTCAGTAAATTCTCAACTATGCAACTATTTTTATTGGCCCCCCTCGTGATAAATTCCTAGTAAAATAAAAGAAAATTGGTGAGGAAAACATCATAAAGAAATGAATATGCTTGTCTTTGATCAAGTAAGGATCAGGAGCATTGGGGTTAAGAATGGGTAGATCATATCGCGATGTAGAGAAAGTGAAACAATTGGCCTAAGAGATAGTAGAGTGGGAAAAAAAAACAGAGGAAAAAGGATGAGTTAAAGTTCCAGGGAAGTTCTCCTGATCTAAAGCTCAAGACTAAAAGGAGACATGAGAAATTATACCAAGGTTCTTTGGCATTTGGACTAAACAAGGGTGCTCACAAAACATTAATAATGGACATGAGAAGGGTTCTTCATTCACACCGTCACATCATCTTTATAATCAAGTGAGAAGGCTAGAAAGTAAGACTGGAAAACAAGTAAAACTTGGACTTAACTTAAAACCCAGAGTTCCCCTCTGAAAATCACCTAGAACAATAAAAAAAACCCACAAAACAAAAGCTCAAATGATTCTATTCACCGGTCAAAATTACCAAAAATACCCTAACATAGAAATTAGACAAGAAGCAATCTGGCCTATCTTGAAAAAATTATTGGCTAACAAACATTGTACCATGAAAAAAAGATTAAAATTCCCAAGCTACAAAAGTGCCTGGAGGCTCCAGCCATGAAATAAAATCAATTTTCTGAACTTCCTCTTGAACTTTTATCTCTTGGGGCAAGGGTGTACACTGGTTAGTGCATAACATTGCATATTTTATAGGTTAATTCATCCTCGTTATGCATGTGTTTAATGTTTAATCCGTTGAATTATGCTAAGATTGGAGTAATTGTGTGTATTTGTTATGTAGGAGTAAAGAAGATGAAGAGAAGTATGATGGAATCAAGCAAAGGGGTATGAGAAAGCATTGGGATGAAGGGAAGTTGAACCAGAAGAGCAAAAAGGGAAAAATCATAAAAGAACCTGACCAACCGGTTGTACTTCAACCGGTTGATCTGGCTGACACAAAACAAAGGTTCAACCAATTCAAGGGGTTGCAGAATTTGTTTATCAAAACATAACCAAATGCTGCCTAAGCTTCAACCAGTTGAACCACTCGTTCAACCGGTTCATCAAAAGTTCATCAGAGTTCTTCAAGATGCTGGGGACCATTCAACCGGTTGAACCTCTCCTTCAATCGGTTGATCATGTTATAGCTATAGCACACAATTTTCTGAGCTTTGATTTGTCCACAAGGGTTGGCTTTCTTCACTCCCACACTCAAGGAGAGGCTACCAATTTCCATGAGCTTTCTTTTTAATTGGTTGTTGGCACCTCCAAGACTTCATGTGAGCAATTCCATTGGGTGACACAGGTGGAGGAAGCTTTTTTGGAGGATCACCCACCACCCACGCCGCATACTNCCAATTTCCATGAGCTTTCTTTTTAATTGGTTGTTGGCACCTCCAAGACTTCATGTGAACAATTCCATTGGATGACACAGGTGGAGGAAGCTTTTTTGGAGGATCACCCACCACCCACGCCGCATACTTCGGCCAACGAGGAAGATGAAGATAAAGGCTATATATATGTATTCCTATGTACTTGGGAGGAATTCTTGGTTGAGTTTTAGAGTCTCTTGCTTAGTTTAGAAGTTTTAGTTTTGAGTTTTACATTTTGAAAGCTTAGTCAAGTTTCGGAGAAGAATACTAGTGTAATTTTCATTTCATTTTAGAAGCTTGCATTGTATGGTTTGTTCTTGCATTCGAACTTAGCATTTTGAAGCAAATCTAGTTGAAATATTTTCTTTCAATTTTGTTGTTCATTTCCATACGATTTACATGTTGTTTGTTACAGATTTCAGTTAAATGGGTTTTGTTTTCGGCTAAGTTTCGGCATGATATGAAGGATGATTCTTGTTTATTATTAAGCATTATTGATTCTATATTGTATTCTAATCACGTAGTATGCTTTACAGATAGTAAAAATCATTTTTGAAAACTAGTGTTTATGTGTACACTTTGATTTTTCATCAACAGATCTCCGGCACGAGAAATACTTAGGGTTCATATATGCATCTATGTATTTATCACTCTAGATTACGTTACCTATCTTCAAAGCGACATATCTCTTACCTGATCTTTGTTGAATATTTCTCGTATGAGTGAATTTGATTATGAGCTTTGATGAGTTATAAATGAGAATCAATAAGCTTGATTACGATGAGATTATTATCAAGGATTGGTCAACTGTTTTCATTTGAATTTACTACCTTAGTTTTTATGCTCACAATTTTCCACTTAATCAAAGAATTTTTATTGTAGTTGCGAAAACATCATCATTTACATACCATTTGTCCCTGAGTAGACGATCTCGGATTTTTTGAGTTACTACACTGTACACAATTCTTACGCTTGAGAACATAGTTACACATTTCAAAGGTGTGGGCATATTTTGAAAGGAATAATTGAGTCATTCTAAGGGAAAAAAAAAACTTTGATGAAGAAAAGCATCTTTGGAAGCCAAGGAAAAGTGTCAAGCATAAACTAATATTCTAGAATTGGTTAAGCTCATCAGCTAGTTCAAAGCAATGAAAAGATGAAAGCCCTATCTTAGACAGCCATTCATTGCTAAGATTAAAGTTGGTCACAATCATGATCTCAATATACCCTTTTTAATATTCTCCCATTCTATAAATTTTTGCCAGTGTTAGCATCCTAAAAACAAAGATCAGCATACAAGCTACAATCCTGCTAGTACTCTTTCAAGTAGATCCTTTGAAATTACCACTTTAAACATCAACCTTTAACTTTAACTCGGACAACCATTAGATCCAAACTCATGCCTTAATTGTCTACATTAACTCTAAACAATGATGACAGAACAAAGCTCCAAAGCTATGAAGCAAAAACAAAAGCCAATCTGATATAGGACAACTTTGTAAAATAAAAATAAGGGTTGTTCAGGGATTGTGAACAGTACTCATGAACAGTAATGGGTCTGTGAATAGTATCGTGAACAGTAATTTTGATTAGGAATCATTCCTAGGGTTAGAATTGCATCACACAACTCAAGAAACATGTAATTGCTGAAAATTCTAAATATCTCTCTCTATCTATATTTTATTAAAAGTAACACCAACTATATATAGAGTTTTAAATACTCCTAATCCCAAAAGATTAGGATTCCAAAGTCTCTAAAACTTCAAACACACTAGATCCCTACAAATTAGAAAACTAAAATTAACTAGAAGTAGGACTTTAAATTCTAGAATATTCAATACTAGAATTTGACCAAAATATATGACCTGTTCCAGAAATCTTTGAAATTACAAAAATACCCCTGACACTAAAAAATATTAAAAGGACATATATAAAATACTAATATTAGCAAATTGACTTAAAATAAGACTTAAAATACAATAATGTNAGGACATATATAAAATACTAATATTAGCAAATTGACTTAAAATAAGACTTAAAATACAATAATGTAAGGTTCCATATGAAGGTTTATCTTGACGTAAAGACAATTTCATTATCTTTCACGTCTTTGAAATTTTGTTTTCTAGAACATCTTATGGATTGCATCACAATCTTTGACTCTATCATGGAATCATCAGGGCCACCAGGATCGGCCACAAAAGAGATCACTCGTGAAAGGTTGGAAGACTCAAGACTCAAGGAAGAAGAATAAAAGGCAAATTATAGTGAAGAAGCAAACTCAACATGAATTAGGAGGTTCATCCCCTCTTTCATCAAAGCAGAACACAACCAATGAATCAAACCATCTTTTCCATGTTTGAGCTGACAAATCATAAACATTCTACCAAGAATGGATGTCCAAACGAAGAATGTAAACTCAAAGAGGGGCACCAACATTGCCCAACATAGATGGAAACTCTACAAAATAGGGAGGGTAGTACAGAATAACGAGTTGAAGACAAAATTCCCTCGACTTTCAAAAATCACTTTTTATTTCCTCACCTTCACAAGTAAGGGAAGTAGCCAAAATCTTATCCAGGCAAAAGTGACAAAAAAATTTATTGTTTCATGGTTGCTCAGAAGGTCCATCACAACAATAGAACCAAACAACCAACGTTTAGTGAACCACCAAGACCTATATTCTGCAACAATACGAAGCCCAAGGATTCTCCCCAAAGGGCTTATTTACATTGCTAATAGGTCCAAAATCGTACTTGTGGCCATTACACACCCCGTA